TGACTGACGGGTTGTGGCTTTACTTGGGGGGGCATCAGCCTGGCATCTGACTTGGGTTTCCTGTGTGGAAGCCTGCCCCCCCACCCCCCGGCTTCCTGAGCAGCGCTGAGCCTGCTGCTGTTGTTGGACGCTGTTGAGTGGACTCTAACTCACGGAGCCTCTAGCTTCAACAGAACGGGGCACTGCCTGGTCCTGTACCACCTTTGTAACCGATGCCATGCTCAAGCCCGTTGCTCAGCCTGTGTGCCCAGTCCACTGTGCCAAGCCCGAACCACGGTTCTCACCGTGTCTGTGTGTGAGAAACTTAACCAGCGAGTGGGTGCTGTTGAGTGAGAACCAACCCGTAGCTGACCCTCCAGCGCAGGCTTTCAGAGGCAGTTAATCACACAGGAGGGGATTGGCAATCCTTCCCTCTCGGAGCAGCTGGTGGATTCAAACCATGTGCCTTTGGGATTGTAGACCAGCTTCTTACCACTAGGCCATCAGAGCTCCTGACCGACGAGTAGGTAGGACTCCGTATGACCAGAGGTCAAGTGAGTTGGGCAAGGCTCAGAAGCATTGCACTGGATCAAAATACCTACCGAGATGCCCCCGGTGGGGCTTGGTCCTCAGGAAGAAGGAGCGTCAGACCAGACTTCACACTTCTGTGTGAACAGTTGGCTAAGCACTTGTGGCCCCTCCTGGGTCTAGACTCTTGGCCGCCAGACACCGCAGCTTTTTAACCCACCGTACACGTCCTCACTTCCTCTTCCTTCAGCCTTGCCATTTGGCCCTGATTTCCCTGCCGGTGACTTCATCGCATTAAACACTCTTCTACGTTTGTGCCCTCTTCTCCTCTCATGAAACTAGGTCATTGGGTCGGGCCGGGTTAGACAAGCGCACTCCTCTTGAACTCTCGAGCGCACGTTGCACCTGGGAGAGCGGGGTGGTAATTGCTCAGCGACATTACTGGAGTTCACACACCGGGGAGCTCAGGGCCAGGGCCAGGCCGGCTGAGGCCTCAGAGGCCAGCCACCGGGGGAAGGCGCTTTCTTTCGAGTTCCCTCCTTCCCCTCGGTTGTTGGTGATCAGAGTCCAGAGGGATCATCACACCAGTGGAGGAACGAGTGGGCTTGGCGTGAAAAGAGTTACTCAGCTCTATGAAATAATTGCATAAAGGTTGGAAGTCCCAGGGTGGACTTTTCCCAGTCAGAGGTAAGATTATATTCCAGCTTGAAACGCTCTCGATGGTCCTTTAAAAAAGCTAAGCGGTAGTAAATAGGAACCTCTTGGCCTGATAGATGTCATTAAACTAAATCTGCCCCCCTCTACTGCCTTTCCTGGGGCCATGACACAAGCCTGTTGACCCACGTGCAGAAGGGAGCCCTTTGAGTTTCTGGTAGGAGGCCTGGTCTGTAAGTGGCAGTGGGGTGACGTGAGCCTCCCAGCCAGTGTCTGTGAAGCAGGGCTTGGCCCCTGGTGGCCTCGTGTGTGTCACAGTAGAACTGCCCTCCGTAGGGTTTTCAGTGGCTGACTTTTTGCAGGTAAATCACCAGGTTTTTCTTCCAAGGCCCTTCTTGGGGAGACTCAAACCCGCAACGTTTCTGAATGCACAGTTGTTGTACCATCCAGGTGCACTGCACTGGTGTTGTACCATCCAGGTGCACTGCACTGGTGTTGTACCATCCAGGTGCACTGCACTGGTATTGAAGGACAGGGATTCTCAGATTTGGGTGCACTCTGAGATATCAGCCAGAGAGATTAATCACAGCTAACGTTTGGGCATGTTGTCAGGAAGGACCAGTCTTTAAGAGTGAGGGAAAGAGACAGGTTTTCAGGAGATAGGTTGACGCTGTGACTGCAGCAGTGGGCTCGAGGGTGTCGGAGATTGTGGGGTTGGCATAGGCTCGCGCAGGGTTCAGGCCTGCCATTCGTGGGGTCGCTGTGAGTCCTTGTTGACTTGACACTAACAACAGCAGCCGCCATCAGGAGGGTGGGTCTTGGGGCTCTTCACTTCCTGCCTTTACCTCAGCTGGTTTCCTGGGGAAGCCTCAACATGCTGGGATCCTGGATTTAAGGCCTGCTGGTGTGGGGAGAGATCTTGCCATTCAGCCAGCACCTCATCCTCACCTTGGCTGTGCGTGCGAGGCCTAACGGGAAGCTTAAACAAAACCCAGAGACAGTTCCAGCAGCAGGAAGCGGGGATTAATCTCTCCTGGGGAGACGAAGCTGTGGCTGTGTTTTGAAAGCTGCTCAGGGGACTCGAACAAGCCCTGGGGTTGGGTGCCACTGATCTGGCTCCATGCTCACTGCTGCGCTGCCCTTGTGCAGTGAGGAGAATGCAACAGCGCTAGAAAGATTGCCAGGCTGTGATGTAAAGGGAGTGGATTCTGGTCCAGCATTTAAATGCGTTTATTTTATTCACCAAATATTTATTGAGGGTAATTATCCCCAGGAGTGCTGAGTTGCCTTTGTTGTCAGGTGCCAGGGAGCCAGTTACGCCTGATAGAGACCTCATGTGTTGTAAAGTAGAACTGTCCCATAGTGTTTTCTTGGCTCCAGTTTTAACTATTGACAGAATTCTGGTGGCACAGTGGGTAAGGGCTCAGTTGCTAACTAAAAGGTCAGCTGTTCAAAGCCACCACCCACTCCAAAGGAGACAGAAGAAGCAGCCAGCTTCTGTAATGAGCATGGCCTTGGAAAACCTACAGTGTAGTTTTACATTCAGAACATCTCCAGTCAGACACCTCTCTAAATTATTGAGGAGCAATGATGTCACTTTAAGGACTAAGGTGCACCTAATTCAGGCCATGGTCTTTTCAGTTACTTGCTATGCCTCTGAGAACTGGACACTGAAGAAGGATGGCAGGAGAAGAATTGATGCCTTTGAGCTGTGGTGTTGGAGTACTGAATACCCTATGGACCTGACAAAAGAACAGATATGTCTTAGAGAAAGTGCAGCCAGAATGCTCTTTGGAGTCAGAAATAACAAAGCTCTACCTCATATACTTTGGGCGTGTTGTTGGAAGAGTCTATTCCTTGGAGAGGGACATAACTTGGAAAGGTGGAGGGTCAGTGAAAGAGGAAATTCTTCAATCAGATGGGTTCCCGCAGTGTGCAGCAATGGGCTGGAGTGTGTCAGAGATTGTGAGGATGGCACAGGACAGGACAGCGTTCACATCTGTTGTTCATAGTATCATATGAATGATACCTGATT